CCTGCCACTTTGGCTGAGTGAGAGGCAGCATCTCAACTACTTGCTTGTTTATTTTCCCTGCCAAAGGCAACCGCTGGTAGGGCAAGAAATGGAAAACCACGGAGGTCTCTTCATGCCTGACAGAGGTCACTGATCCAGACACATCCCGAGCAGTCAGTGCTGGTGATGCAGAGATCAAAGGATAGCTCTGGGGGCTGCAGCCTGCCCTGCAAAAGCACAGGGGCTCCCAGTTCCTTCCCACTGCCTGGTCCAGGCACTCCTGTCAGTACAGGATTGCTAAAATGTCATTTCCCCCCTGAATTACTGCTCCAAAACATAGTAGAGCAGTGTGAAGGAAACATTATATGAACCTGACTGTCAATATTATGAAAATTGACAAGAAATCCAGAACAATTTCAGAAATTTTCTATGGTGACTACATCTGTGTTTGGGTCACACTCCTTGTATTGTAATTCTTTGTTAAGTTTGGTTTTTAGGAAAACCCAAACCACTCAGTTTTATCCTTGGAATAACTCCTGTGCTTTTTTTTTTCCCCTATAAGATGAGAGATGATTAAATCAATTTATTTACTTTAAGCATCTTTCTAGGTATAACCATTTAAAGCCAATATTTTGAAACATGTGAAAAAATTAACGATTTATCTAGATTTTTCCTGAGCTTGGTCCCCATTGAGGTTCCATTGAGATCTCAATCTTCACTTTGCATGGAATGGGCTGAAAATTTTTAGTATAGCATGCTAATAAGTAACATTGCCTAGTTCAATACAGCCCACAAGTTTTCCTGTGTGTGCATTTTCCCCTCTAGTTCATCTATACCCACATCCTTAATGCCCTTATTTTAATGCTCTAGTACATCATACATGTGAGAAGAGTACTCCAGGATAAATTCAGTTGTCCAATTTAGAGTTTGCCATGAAGACCTGATGAGCAGCCTTGCAGCTAGAACAAGTGTCATCTGCTGTCTCACAGCTGGCACAAATTTTGATTCCTGTGATCTGGCTTGTCTAACAGAAGGGCAGTCATGTGCACACCCCTCACCTAGGTCAGCTTTGTACATGGGGCAATCTACCACCACCATGATCACAGAGCCACAGACTAAGGAAAAACAAGCCAATACAGTAATTAAAAATATTTATTTCTGAAGATATTTAGATATTTACCTTGATAGGCATAAAGCATTTTCCAATTTCATACAGAAATACATAAAACATGCATAGACCAATATGGCCTACTTCAATGTGTATTCAACATGGTAAATATAATGAAGAACTTGTGTGAATATAAATACATGACACAAAAATAAGCACATAAGATTCAACTTTTCTGCAAATTCAACAATGTGAACAAATTCACTGCTATAAACATTCACCCAATATTAGCCTTTTGACTCTAATTCAAAACAACCCTTTGTCTCAATGTATTCCCACCAAACAAGGCCCTGAATAAATCTTGCAACAGCCTCTGGTACATCCCCACTTCAGTGCATTTTTGGTAGCATGTAAGACACAACAACCTCTATTATTAGAACTTCAGTTGACCAAATATCCTTGTTATGGGAAAATTAGTAGTGTCCTCGATAACTTTTATTTTATGTTGAAGAGTCCCTTTGGTAGCCAAAGCCAAAGGACTTTGACTATGAAAACAATCAGAGTGCCTAACCCACATTCAGATAACTCTGGTTGTACAAGTAAACTAGACTTCTGAAAAAAGGCAAAGGGTTGCAGCTGATTAGTAAAGGCAATAACAAGGTGTAAAAATACTCTAGCAGGAGTGCAACAAACAGTACGCGAGGTAGACATGTATATATGCAGTCAGTCCTGATTAAAGTAGAACTGTGGCTTTCATTTTTGCATTTTAATCAAAAGGTAGTGTTCTTTGAAGTTTGTACACTCAGATCTTGCTTTCTGTCCTTGCTAAGCATATCTGTGAGGTCTTCCTTGCGAGATGCTTTTGATGTAGACCCCGAAAGCTGCTCAATTGATGGGTAACGTTCCAGAAGCAGTATTCAAATGTTTCTTCAGACAGATGGTTTTCATGTATGTTACTGCAGATTTCCCTTCAGCCCTTCCACCCATCCACCTGAATTCCAAAATGATAAAATCCTTTGTCGTTATATCTCCAAATACAGGACTTCTTTAGCGCTTTGCTCCACTGTGCAAACACTTGGACAGAGGGGGCCTTTGCCATCATGGAATGTTGGAGTCAAGACAGTTTTCGCGATGCTTTGTCAGCAAGCGTTGTGGAGAAAGATTCAGGTGATCTCCCCACTAGGATGCTTTCAGGCTTTCCCTGAAGCTTTGCCTTTTGTTCGCCCTGTTGTGTTTGAGCTTTCGCCCTTTCTGGAGCTCAGCCTTCAGCTTTGCGATACTGAAGGAAGCTTTGATACTGTTACCAATGGCTTCCAGCCTGCAAAATCAAGAAATGTACAATTTAGCATTGTGATAATGAAGATGCATCTCTAGTGTGAAAAAAACTTAGTTTTTGCTTAAATAAATCTCAGTCTAGATTTCTACAGTAGGATCCTAATAAACTGCTGTTCGCTATACCTCAGAATTAGGATAACTTAAGATACTTGAAATGTTGTATTCATAATTTCAATGCAAACATTAAATTAAAATATTCACTCAAATATAGATGCCCTAGAGTTCTTTAAGTAACCAGTCAGGAGGTCTCCAGTGGTTTTTTATGTTTCGTCTGTGCTGTTTCTTTTAGGTAAACCTGATCCTACTTCCAATGAATAGGTGCATTTTTCAAGTAAGCAAGCCCCACTTTCAAAAAATTATTTAAGACTTCCAGCGCCTAAGTCTCATTCAATATCATCAGGTTGCCTGCTCCCATAAGTCCTGTTCTGCTTGTGAAAGGAGCACTAAAGAATCTTCTTTAGTACAGGCAAACCTCTGTATTCCATACTTTTCCATAGGAATATGGCTGAGCACTGGATGCAAGCAGAGGACAGATGGGTGCTGAGCTCAGCGCCCGTGTCCTCACAAGCTAAAAACCCAGAGCATGAAGAAAAGCCCCAAAATATCCTCACTGATTCCTCCATAGCTCTCAAACTGAAACCACCAGCTAAGCTCAGGATGACCCGAAGGCAGGTGAACTGTGCTCTCTATTGCTGCTCTAGGGAACTACAACAGGATGAGAAGAAACTCACCGCTTCATTTTCTTGCTGTCAACAAGCTGTTGGTTCATGCATTTGGGTCCAAAGCAATTGCCGGCTTTGATGCGGTGCCATGAGGTTTTCTCCACTGTGGACTGAGCCCTGTTAAAAGGGAAAAGGTTCTGCTGTTAAAAAAAAAGCCAAGTCTGCAGTCCACAAGGTGAGGCATCTCATCAACCACTTCTCAAGGCATGTAATAAGCAATCTTTCTGGGCCAAGCCATAGTATGTATCATAAAAGTATGAGCACTCAGGTAGGAGGCAAGGCTTTGGAGAGAGTATTCGCTCAGCAAGTGCCAAAATGAGTAAGTGCACCACAATCCATCCCTTTCACATGCATTGCCTTTTAAAGAGTAGCAACAAGAGACGCACCAGAGATCTTTGCCTGCCTGGCAGAAGTTCAGACATTTCTTGTCTTTCTGGTTGGCACATCGGCATCTGCTGCTTGGTTCAGTGAGCATCTCCGGCACCATGTCCTTCAGTGATCTTCTGGGTCGAGAAGGGCCTCCCAGACCATATGGAACAGTCTTCCTATGATCAAAGAGACAACATGAAAGTCATTTAAATAATTCTGTGCCTTCAAAACACTGTGGGGTATTTTTGGGCAATCTTATCAACAGCATTGATTGCAGGAGTAAAGGCTGTGGGATTGGGAATGCCTCATTAGTCACAGTTTCCATGCAAATGCTTCTGATGATCCTGCAACATATTCATTAGCATGGCTACTGACAAGGATAATGACCTTTTAATTGTGATTTCACAAGGCTGTTGTGCCTCCCTATGCAACAGAAAGCAATAAAACCTCATCTCTTTGAACTTTGTCTACTGCCAACACTGAAAGAAGCAGTGAAAGTGAAGAACAGATTCTCTCTCAGAGGAAACCCAGCAGCAGAAGAAATCACTAGTCAAGTGTTTGCAGCCTTAGGTGAGAGTCCGGCTCACTACTTTTTGGTGAGGAGACTATAGAAATGGATAGTGTGCATAATCCTATTAACACGTGGGACGTATTAATTTGCAGCAGAGAGCAGTGAAAGGCAGCTAGAGCCACCCGGTGACAAAATATTCCTTCCAACCTCCTAACTTGTCAGAAAGAAAACTGCTCAAATGCAGGCTGGCAAAATCAAGCCTTTGGCATTTTGTCTGATTCTGATTCATAGTGAAAAGTATCCTGCAGCCTTTGCTGAGCAGCACCCAATGGAAATACTGCTGCCCAGATATTAGGTAGGCAGGTGTGCTAGGGCTATTAGGAGCTATCTGCCCGATCTGTGTGGCCAAATCCTGCTCGCTTTCTTCTGGTGCATCTCGTTGCTAAATGTGTTAGAAAAGTAGGAGCAGGAGGGTAAAGCAGTAGCAGAAACTGTGCAAACAACTATTTCTTCCTCCCCTTCCCATCTCTGCAGGGGGGTTGTGGTTCTTAATTTTCGCCTTCACACCTCCCTCCCTTTCTTCCTAACCAAAAGGGAACCCGGCACTGGGGAACCGCTGAAACCCCTGCACTCCACTCACTCGGGGGTGTTGATCCAGATGATGTCGAGGTGGCAGAAGTAGACGCACTCCTCGTCCATCAGCGAGGAGCAGGAGCAGCGCCGGGCGCGGCGGTGCGCGGTGGCGGGGGGCGGCGCGGCGTCCGCTTCGGCTCCGGGGGCTGCGGGAGGGAGCGGCAGAGCTCAGCACCCGCGGCAAGGCAAGGCAAGGCACCCGCGCATCCCCTCCCGCTGCATCCCTCGGGCAGCCCTCCCCGGAGCCCGGCTGCGACCCCGCAGCCCCCGCGGGGCCGGCCCCGGGCGAAGGCGAGCGGCAGCGGACCGGCACCTACCTGCCGGCAGCAGCCCCGGGCAGAGCACGAAGAGCAGCGAGACGATCATGTGGCAATAATCCATAGCAGGCGGCGGAGGGCGGACGGAAGAAGTGAGGGGAAACAGGGTAAAAATTAATAAAAGGCGAGGGAAAAGCGGAGAAAGTGTCTCCCGGCGTGGGGACGGAGCGCCGTGGAAGGTGCCCTGCGTGGCGCGGCTCGGTGCGCCCCGGCGCGTCTGGCTGGCGCGGCGGTCCCCGGCGCCCTTTTATAGCGAACCCCCATGGAGCGGGTAAACAGCCCCGGCGCTATTTTATCCCGAGACAATGTTATTCTCCTATTAGTCACCGCGCGGCAACGTGCGGGCCGAGATAAGGCCGGGGCTGGAAAGGAAATCGCCTGCAAACTTCAAGAGCGGGGGGCGGCGGCGGCGGCGGGAGGGGGGCCGGGGGCGCCCCGGGGGCGGGGAGGGGCGCCAGGGGCCGCCAGGGGGCGCCCTGCCCGCGCGTCGCACCTGAGGGCGGCTCTGGGCTCCGGGATTCGGGAATTCGGGGATTCCGAGATTCGGAGATTCAGGGGTTCAGGGTTTCAAGACTCAGGGCTGCGGGGCTTCAAGGTGCACTGATTCAAGGCTTCAGGGCTCCAGGACTCGCGGCTCTGGGCTCCACCTGCTGCTCCTGCTACTGCCTTGGGGAGAACTCAGCAGTGGGACGCGGGGGTCCCTTATGCGGGATGATGGATGCCTGACTGCGCTGGACCCTGCCCTGCTCCCCTCAGACCCTGTCAGGTGGGCTCTGGGTTCTCAGGAGTTTGGCAGCAGCGGTGGCGCATTTGGGTATAATCTATCTCCCTTTTCTGCCGTGGTAGGGCAAGGTGCTAAACGTAGCATGTTTTGGGTGTAAGCAGGTGTGTAAAGCCAGGTAGGGAGGGAAAGAGGGAAGATCTGTGCCTACTCTTCGCCTTTGGCTCTCACCACTAATTCTGGCAAAGTGTTTTTTCTGGCATGTTCTTGTATTCAGCCTTCTGTCAAAGAGCAGAGTCAGTGTGGAAGCTGGACGCTTGAGGAGTGGCTGCAGCAGGGCCATGACAGATAGAGATATGCATGGAATCCACTGAGGTCCCAACTGAGGGAGCCAGCCCCTGACTATAAACTCAATTAAGTGAACTCAAAATGCCTGTGATCCGCCGTGGAGCCGTCGTGCTGCGAAGCGTGCCAGTTTCACCTATGATAAATAGATAAGACTCTCTTGGTATTTGTGGTATTTCCGTGCACTGTACTGTAATAATAGAGATGACCTTGGATATCACAAAGAGCGGGATTGTTAAGTGCAAGTTGCATTGTGCTCTGGCAGGTGAATGGCCAGTTTTTTGAAGTATCAGATTATACTGTGCCCCTGTATCATAGCGGACAGACTGTCTGCAGCCGTGCTGAGTCAGAATAAAGGTCCATTTAGCTGGTATCCTCTCTGCCACAATGGATGTTAGCAGATGGTATGAGAAGGAGTACAAGAATGGAATGCAAGTGGAGACTAATCCTTTCCTCGGTGTAACCTCCCTGCTTCTAACAGGATGAAGTGTAGGGGCTTTCCGAGCAATAATGAACATTTAGACCATTATGCCGAATAAACACCAGTGGCCCCATCCTGAGATGGTCATATCTATTTATCAAAGGTATTCTAAAAACTGTCCTGTAAAACATCTGTGAGTGGAGAAAGCTGGGTTATACAAATTTTTTTTTTCACAACTTTCCAGCGTGGGAGTTTATTTTCCAGAGCAGGGATCATATCGTTTTGTGTATTATGTCTCCTTGTGTATGTAGGGCAGGACTTCCCAGAACGCCAATGTATCCGTACATATGTGTTTGAATTGCTGCAGTCATGATAAGAATCTGCCAGCAGGGGTCACACAGCTACATACAAAGAGTAATCACAGCCCTCTGAAGTAATGAACTTTATCAGCGCCCAAAAGTTAGGGAAGAAACTTAGTGACTCTTTTTTCTTTCTTGGCATTAAAAATAAAATAAAAAAAAATTAAAAATTAAAAAAAAAAAGGGAAAAGGAAAAAACATGAAGCAGTTGTGTGGGTTGAAAGATAGCAATCGTTCTGTATTGAATACAAATATGCCTAGCCTTTCCAGGCCTGGCACTTAAAGACCGTCTTTCATGCCAGTGCTTATTTAGATTTTTTTTTCTGAGATTCCTTTTTCTAAGATGTGCACTTGGAGCCAAAATGACTCACATTGGTGTAAGATATTTTCAGCCTTGTCAGAATACCTTGTTAGAAAGTATTATGTTAGCTGGCAAAAACAGCATGTATGTTTCCTCTGAGTAACAAGGAACAAACATATCGCAGGCACTTCTGAAGATGGTGTTCTTTTCTACTTTTCTTTTTTTAACAAAAACATCTTCAGCAATTTTTAATAAGAAATCATAAATATTATTGTTGTCAGAGATCCATTTCCTCTGATTCAGCGATTTTTGATAGCTTCACTTTCAGATCTTGAGACTAACCAGAATCGAGCTATTCCTGTTGCTTGAGTAATGCAAAAACAAACTTATGTTCCGTTTGTTAGCAGTGGCCTGGCTGGGTCATTTCAGGCCGCCGGGATTGCCAGGCCTGGAGGTGGGTTTCCCCAGGAAGGGGTAATCCTGACCCTTGCTTGGACACTGGGAGGTACCAGGATCAGCTTTGTTCCACACAGAAATCCCCTTTGGGAATCAAAGAAGGAAAATTTGCCCATTTTAAAGCTGTTTAAAGGAGGAGTCCAACAATAGGAGTCACAATAGGGGCCTTATAATATCTGCTGAAGAGGACCAAACTTTGGGTAGCAGTCAGTGTTTGCAGGATGGAAACACAAAGTCAGGTGCTCCAGGAGTCGTCCCAGTGCACGCCAAGCCAGATCACCCCAAGAGCTGGGAAGTTTGCACCATATTTGCATTGCTGCCCATGTGGACAAGGGTGGAAGCAGGAGTTGAAGCTGGCTGCTCCTGAAGCAGGCTTTGTCCCTTTCTAGCTGGAGCACCTTGGGCAGCCACCTCTGAGACATTGTGTTAAGGAGCAGAAACTCAGCTGATCAGTCAGGCTGTGGTTGTAATGTTCCAGCTGGAAAAGGCCATGGCACCGACTTTTCTAAAGGACATTTTGTTTAGTGTCAGAAAGAAATGCCTGCTTATCAGCGAAACAATAAAAGGAGACTGTAGAACTGTGCCTTTCTGTCTAGAGAGCAAGGAGAGCAACATGCTGCTTTCTGCAGATTTGAAACACTATTCTCAATTAAGTGAAAGTTGTATAACTTGTCCTCTTACTTTCCTCACTGCCCCTCTTGCACCTTACTTTCCACTTAGGGGCTGTCCCATCTGCCTGTACCCCTTTTTATACAAGACACAAATTTTTTACATAACATGCAAGTCAAAGAGCTGATTATGCCATGCAGAAGGGACCTGGACAGGCTTGGGATGTGGGTCCATGCAAACCTCAGGAAGTTCAGAAGGACCAAGCATAAGATCCTGCACAGGGGTCATGGCAATCCCAAGCCCAGATACATGCTGAGAGATTAATGGATTCAGAGCAGTACTGAGGAGAAGGACTTGGGGTTTTTTTCATCCAGAGGGTGGTTGGGCACTGAAACAGGCTCCCCGGGGAAGTGGTCACAGCACTAAGCCTGACAGGGTTCAAGAAGCATTTGGACAATGTTTTTAGGCACACAGTGTGATTCTTGGTGTGTCGCGTGCAGGGCCAGGAGTTGGACTCAATGATCCTGATGGGTCTTTTCCAGCTCAGCATATTCTGTCATTCTATGATTCTGTGACTGGGGGTTTTGGCGGATAAGAAGCTTGATGTGAGCTGGCAACATATGCTTCCAGCCCCTAAATTCAACTGTATTATGGACTGCATCAAAAGCAGTGTGGGCAGCTGGGAGATGATTCTGCCCCTCTACTCTGCTCTGGTGAGAGCGTACCTGTAGTGCTGCATCCAGCTCTGGGATCCCTAGCACAGGAAGGACATGGACTTGTCGGAGTAAATACAGAGGAGGCCATGAAAATGCTCAGAGGGCTGGAGCACCTCTCCTGTGAAGACAGGCTGAGAGAGTTCTTCAGCCTGAAGAAGAGACGGTTTCAGGGAGTCCTTAGAGCAGCCCTTCAATATCTCAAGGGGGGCAAGAAAGCTGGAGCAGGACTTTTTACAAGGGCATGTAGAGATTAAACAAGGGGAATGGCTGTATGCTGAAAAGAGGGTGGGTTTAGAATAGGAAGAAATTCTTTACTGTGTGGGTGGTAAGGCACTGTAACAGATTACCCAGGGAAACTGTGGATGCCCATCTCTGGAAGTGTTGAAGGCCAGGTTGGATGGGGCTTGAGCAACCTGGTCTAGTGGAAGGGGACTTGGAATGAATGATCTTAAAGGTCTCGTCTAACCCAAACCATTCTAGGATTCCATGATAATTTGAGCTCTTGAAAATTACCTTATTCTCATCTGTCACTACCCAGCTCTATAATGTATTTGATTCTCCTTACCGCTGTGAGAGTCCTTAGGCAGAAATCTATTTTCTTGCAAACCAACTTTCTTCATTCTCCCCATCTCCAGTTAGTGAGGTTTAGCATGGGTGCCTATCTCACAGTATACCTGTGGACTTATTAAAGTGATGAGGAGAGGAATAAGGACAGCCAGTGGTCCAGCAACCTCAGCCCTACATGTTTGTAACATGTGGCCTAAATGGGCCATATCCAATATCACCAATGATAATTTTCTTTCCAAAATTCACTCCACATACAAAATTGCATTTAAGCTAGGGAGGAAAGTTGCAGCTATATGACCCTTGATGGAGGAAAGCCTCTATCAGAAAGCACGTCCAGACCATGCACTTCCTGACATCATGTGGCAATGACTAAATACCATTTAAAAAACAAAAATCAAACTCCACTTAAAGCTGAATTTTACTGAGCAAAGTTCACAGTTTCTCCCAGGGCTAAAACTGTTATTGCCAGAAAAAAAACGTAAGAGGGTTTGCAGAGATTCAGGTTTCAGAGGATGAAACCTGTTGTGAAACCTTCCTCCTACTTATGCTTTCCACAACAAAGGACTGCAAGCAACGGGAAAATATTTCCCTGGAAGTAAAGTCATCTTTAAA